TTTGTTGAGGTTAAGGGATGGGTGCAGGCAGACAGCAGTAGTTTGCATAGCAGGATGGTCTTGTGGTAATTGTACCAGACCGGGAGTCAGGAAATCTGAGTGCAATTCCTGACTCTGCCACTGACTTCCCGTGTGGCCTTGGGTAAGTCATTTATTGTTCTTTGCCTCTAGTCCCAGTCTCTAAAATGAGGGAAATAATCCAATGGGACCCTGAGCTCAGCTGGGGCTTCTAGCTGCTACTGTAATAGAAATAATAATAAAAAATTAGCTAAATTTAAAAAAGAAGCTTATCCCGGGACACGTCACTTAGCACTGGTCCGGCGCCTCCTCCTGGTTACTCTGGGGATTAGCTTGAGGCTGACGCCCTCCCACCCATGGTTCGCACACCATCACTCTGTCCCCATTGCCTGCCTGCAGCCCCTCTGGCAGCCTCAGGAACCACAGCATCTTCCTTGTGACTTAGCCCTCCGGCATCACCATCCATGTTTCCCCCTTCCAGGGGTGAGTGTCTCAGTCCAATAATCACACCACTTCCCTGGTATTGAGTGTTGGGGGGGACCTGGGCCCATTACTCTGGGACCCACCCCAGGGACCCTGTGGATAGCAGCCTCGTGTTGCAACTCCTTAACTTCTCACCATGCTGCTGTGTCTCGCTGGGCCACTTCCCCACATCCCCTGCACCTTCTTCACCCTTGCCTCAGGGCATGCAACTACCCAGTGCCAGCAGCCAGCCAGCCAGGAGCTCCCTCTTGCTCCCCTGGTCTTCGCCAGCCGTTGCTCTGTCCAAGGTGCTGCAGGTCTCTCTCCCTGCTAGAAACAGTCCTCACTCCTTGAGCTTCCAACAGCAACTAACCCAGCCCTGCCCTGCAGCTCCTCTTATCTGAGCCTGCCGGGCCCGGATTGGTTGCTCCCTGCAGTTTCTCCCTGATTGGCTGCGCTGGTGTGGGTCACTCGGAGGACTCCTCTCCCCTGCTCCCTGCTGAGGTTAACCCTTTACGTGCCCATGTGGGGCGGATGCCCCATCACAAAGCTAAAAACCCAGAAAATGCCGAGTTATGTCTTCACTGAACAAACATGCAGACTCTCTTTCTTGCCCCTATATGGGGTATGCCTACATAGCAGCTGGGAGGGTGCAGGACAGACACACAAGCCCTGCTTGAGCTAGTGCGCTAAAAATAGCTATGTGGTATGAGTGACGGGGGCTAGCCACCTGAGTGCATAGGGGCAGGTCAGGCAGGATTGTACTCAGGTGCCGCAGCCACGTCCTATACCATGCTATCTTGAGCAGAGTTAGCATGCTTCTTTCTACCTGTGCTTGGAAGCACCCTCCCAGATGCTGTGTAGACGTACCCGTAGATTCTAGCTTCCCATTTTTCCTTCTTTATGGGTAGGGTACAGAAAATGTGTATGACAGAGCATAGGTTTTCTGATTTGCTTCACAAATACGCATCTCCAATGCTAAGTATGATGATTTGTCGCCATGCTAACCTTTGCTCGTCTCATTTAAGTGCTCTAATTTCATTATCTTGGGATGTGAGGATCATCTATGGAGACAAACCAGCTTTATGTCTAATGACATTTGGAGAATTGGTGCATACGTGCATCATAGGGGTTGATCCTGGAAGGACATAAGCACCCCCCATGAGATGCTGAATGCCCTCAGCATCTAGCTGGATCAGGTTCATAGTGACTGTGGATGTTATCTGTCTGGTCAGGAATTTGTGAAATTCTTGCATATGTGCGTCATGTGACTGTAAGGAAAGCTGGAAGGGAGCACACCCACTACATGCTTTATGTGTGAGGCACTCTGGTTTTTGTGAAGACTGATGAAATGAAACTGTCTGCTATGGACGGATTTAATGGGTTATTTTTTCTCGGGCCTGGGCAGAGTTGAGGTGGTTTGAGTGCCTTGTTTGAGAAGTGCAACCTTAATTCTGCATTTCCTGGGTGTCCAAAGGGTTGTATTCTGATCTCTAATTTTCTTTAAAGGCAATATGCACTCACTGTGGATCTGGGCCTACAACCTTAACTTCCCATGCACAAAGGTTCATAATTTTTTTAATAGTTCTGACCTGCAACTCAGGAGCAAAGGAAGCTATAAGCTGCCTGATTTCCTGAGGACTGAAGGAGGGAAGCCTGACTTCACCATGCCTTCTAAAGTCCTAGCATGGGCCCCAAAATAGAACACTGCCTGGGCAAATCCATCGACCCCCCCACTGAGCCATATGAATGAGGCTTCTTAGAGCCATCTGCACTCAGTTCAGTCTTTAGGAGGGTTTTCAGGGGTCCCTGCTATTCTTTCCCCCATGTTTTATGTTTATGGGCCCCCCAGGAGCTTTGGAGGAGTCTGTGGAGGAGCAGAGCTGTGGGGGCAATTGGAGGACCATGAGGGTACTGCTTACTAGCCGATGGGGGCTAGGTGGAGGAGCTGGAGAGCAGCTCCGTCCTTCGGGAGAAGGCAGCGAAGCACTAGACTGGAGCCTCCCTGGCTTCTGCAGATGGTGAACCTCCTGTAGCTGGCCGCTGTGAGACTCACTTTTGATGAGTCACAGGAAGCTTGCTGGGAAGAGAAGTCAGGAGAGTCCTAGTGCTTTCCTTGCTTGCTTCTCTTATGCCTCTGTGCTGCTTCAGGAGTCCCCCATCCCCCATAACTTCTAGCAGGACACCTGTTCCACCCCATACCCTCATGCTCTCCCATAACCCCAGTCCCATGCATGCCCCCATCAAACTAGCTTCCTCCATTTCCTCATGCCTCCCTCTTACTGGAGATGTGATTTGTGAGGAAGAAGGGCTTCCAGGAAGGCCTGACCCCTAGGTGTTTTGTCGCCCAGGGTGGAAAACATTTTTCACTTCCTCCCCCCACCCCCAGGTTGCTTTGGCAACTGCCCCAATCGCCCACCCCTAAGGCCAGCTTTGATTCCAAGAGGAGAGATGGGCTGGTGTGGGCACTTGGAGCCAGCTCATGGGCACAGGAGAATGCAGAGGGGGAAGCATTGGTGCGTGCCAGTTATTTTTACCTGACTGACTGCTGTGACTCTTGGAGTCAAAAGGACCTCGGGAGGCCCACAGGGAGTGGGGACTGGGTGAGAAGAGGGGGTTGGGAGGAGGAGATCAGGCAGGGCATTGCCCCTCTCCCTCTGGACTTCCTGGACTCTATGGTAGGGGACACCCCTCAGTGAACCTTAGGATGTTTCTCAGCCCTTTTCAGAAGCTCCAGGCACCATGCTGGGTCCCCCACATCATCCCACAAGACTTAAGAGGCTTGTTGGGTCTCCTCACAAACCTTTTTTGGGGGGAAATGGCCTCTGTTCCATTGACCAGACTCCCCAGAGATAGGGTTATACCATGGGGTCTAACTCTGCAAGGAAAAGGGACAACAACTTGTTGTTTAAAACTGTCTTCATCTTCCATTTGACATGCGTAATTGCGCCCTTATCCAGCAAAACGCTTAAGCATGTGTGCCTAACTCTACATTCATGAGTAGTTCCACCGGCTTCAGTGAGACTACCCATGTGCTTAAAGTCAGGCATGGGCTTAACTGCTTTGCTGGATTGGGATTTCAGTTCACCTTAACTGATGTTTCAAAAAGAAATTAGACTTTTATCAACTAAATTTTAGTCCTGGGCACTAGATAGCCACGGGAGTTCAGTCTATTAAGTTTGATCTCTTCTTCTGTCTTTTTTGCTAGGAAGTTGCCCTCCCCTCCTGGAAAACAAGTTTGACAAGTTTTGAAACTCTATTCAACACTTTTTTCAATTTATAGTGTGTCATAATTCAGAAGCGCCTGATCTGATTCTGTTAAAATTTGGCTTTTTAAAAAAATCTATCCTAATCTAATCTACCTCCTGATCTAACATATGGATTTTGAGCCCAATATGTAAACTGTACAGCAGTGGAGGCAAAATTGGATGTTTGACAGGAGTTTAGTTGCAAGCTGAACCATGGAATATTGGTGACAAAGGTCCCCCACTCACAACATATTAGCTCTGCTGGAAATTTCTCGTCTTTCTCGGTCGCTGGAAATAAGCAAACCTGGGGCTCAAATAACGGCGCTGACAATGAAACACCAAATAGAAAAATAAAGCGGAAAAATAAAAACACTTCCCCTCCATAATGCAGAAAATGAGACCTCCTTTTCAGAATGTACAGTACGTAAAACCCGTGTAGGATTTGGACTGGTATAGCTCCAGAAATACCGCATGCTGCTGCCTGTGTGCAGTGGGTGCATGTGTGTGTGTGTTTGGCAGTGGCACAAAGGAAACCCGTTGATGAAATTCATAGGATTAGAGGCCTGATTCCCGGGGATACACTTGGCTGAATGCAATTAAAATGCCTGTCAGGCATTTGATACCAGAAACCCCTTGACAAACTGCTTAAGCAGACGCAAATGCAGTATCCTATTGTAAGTGAATGATGGCGGAGCTGGCTGCCTTGTCATCCTTCTCGAAAATTCTGTGGCCAGTGAGCTCCCTCTTCCTCTCCCACTCGCCCTCTTTTCCTTTTCACCACTGCAGGGACTTTTTCTAATTTGCCGTTTTCCTTTTCCCAACGTACACATGGTAGATGCAAGCTGGTGGCTTGCAGACTGCGTCTGTCTGGAGATAGGCAGCGAGCCGATGGATAATAATGCTCCGGGAGAATGATTATGCAGCAGTTAGTTAAGGATAGGCTTTTGTGGTATGGCAGCATATGAGCTGGTAATGATTTTCTTTTTTAAAATGTCAGCTTTGTGTGATTTCGGAAAATTAAAAGAAAACCACCATTGTGTTGTAGCATTCCGAATTCAGTCTGCTGGGTATTAAGTGCTGCATTAGTGCACATTGGATCAATTCAAGATGTGTATATAGTACATGCTGTATGTGTATATGTTTCTATATATGTATCCATGTTAGTAGAACAAAAACAATTAGTTTTTTTTCCCGTTAGCTGAAGAAAATATCTTGTTTCATCAAAAATAAAATATTATCACTCCTTTTTTTTTTATTGGCTTATTTTAACAGATTCTCCAGCCTTTTGTCTCTGACGAGGCGCACTGATTGGGGTCTGCTTATTCCACAGATCAAAAAGGTAAGGCACATTATTTTTTAATATCTTTATAAACAGATAGGAGTATGGAGTTCATACTGATATGATCTTCTAGAAACGTATGTGCTTCTTCATTCTGTCATACTGTGCTACGTTACAGCTTTACTTGGGCATTAAATCTGATCTCAGTGCAGACTGTAAAAGTTACTTTTAATATGTATGTATAAGCTTAGATTGCTTGATCTGTGGTGACTACCTCATCAGGTCAGTCATTTCAGCCACAGTGGCCCCCAAAGGGGTAAATACTAACGTCTGTTTACCTGCTTACATGGATTTGGAACCCCTATGAAAGCTGTACAAAATCCTCCATCCACACTGAGAGTTAATAGCGTTCGAAAGGGGAATCTTTTTCATATGGGTTTTAGTGTAACTGAAAGCTACATATGATACTAAGAATGGGGTTAAATTCATTGGCTTGCTTTAGCCAGGTAAGATCTATCACAGAACTCAGACCTGGAAGCATAGAGATGGCTTAATACTCTATCATTTTCATGGGTGGCAGAGGAAATTGCTGTTAACCCCCACCTTGCTGCCAGAAAATGCCTTGGCTTAGGTTTTGGTGCATGGAATTTTAATGTACCAGGTATATGGGGCAACACTGAAGGAGCACATTCCCTGTATTTATTAGATACGTCATTCAGCACAGAAGAGGCTCTTCCTACATGTTGCTACAAAAGCAGCAGAATCTGCTATTTATGAATGTTTTGTTACTGAAACTTAAATGAGAATGTATATTCTCCTTCTCTTTCTTGATTCTGTTGTTTAGTCCTTTGAGACTATCTGCATAGCATAGAGGCCTACTGGAGAAGTCACTGGAGAAAGGAGCTCTTTTGTGATAGGGCCCTCAGAATGAGGACCTTGCAAACTGTGTGGGATTTTTGATAGGTTCTAAGTGTCTTAGGAACACAAATCACATTGATTTTTCAATGGAACTCATGGTCCTAAGTCACTTGGAAGTTTTTTCAAAACTGCTTGTGTGTCTCCTGTTTGGCTGGAGATAATGTGCATGATCATCACTCATTAACCCCTATATATGCCATACTTCTCCCAGAATCTTCCACGCCAAACCTCCCAATGGGCATCCACTCAGTTGTCATGAAATTGATCAGGGTCCTTTAAGTCTATATGAATACCTTTCTTTAAAAAAAAAAAAAGATGTTTTGGAGAACTCCAACAATCAAACAAAATTCAGAAGCATGTTGTTCATTTTGCTTAACTTCTGCAGTTATATCTCATGACAAACCTACAGTAGCCTCCTAGAAGTAATGGGATTTCATTCATCTAATCTTTACACAAAGTCCATTGGCCTTTTAGCTGTTAAGAGACTGGTTATGCCAATATCAGTGCTGATCGAATGACTGAAATAAGAAAAGATCCAAATCTTTGCTCAAAAAAATGAAGCTGAACCAAACCCTGAATCAGTGTAGAATTCAGAAAAGTTTAACTTCTTTTAAAAATTAAGCCTCTAATCCTGCAAATACTTATACATATGCTTAACCTCTATGGGATTACTCATGTGCTTAGAGTTAAGCATGTGTGTAAGTGTTTGCAGGGTTAAGGTCCACACTTGCACATATGTCTTCATTATCCTGTTTCATGGTATCTTCTGGGGATATCAGAAGCCCCCCAATCTCCTCCCCACACACACATGCACAAAATTCAGCAGGAAAGGGAGTTCTTGTGGTATTTCCACCCCGGGTGAAAGCAGGAATAATGGAAACTTTGTGAAAAAGCCCGGTCTCCTGAGATTTCCAGTGCAGTTTCCAGGTGTCAGATATTGGGACGAGTCAGAAAACATGTAAACCCAATGGTACTTCTGGATCTTTGCTCTCAACTAACAGCAACTGCTAACGGGCTTCACTGTGAATTTTGGTTTAATATTTTCATTTATGATCATAATGAAATTGGACTTCCTGTACAATCAAAGTTGAGTGATAGATGCTATTTCTGAACTAAAACAAGTATGTTTTTCAGGCTGTCATCAGGCCATTCTGACATGCTTGATAATTATTTTCTGACCAGAATCTTGCCTGTAATGGATATTTTATATAATATACGTATATACATTCTTCTACAGCTCTCCCTCTTCTGACCATCATATTTTTTCTGTCTTTAGGGGGATTTCTGCTGTTTTTCAGATTTCCCTGGGTAATACATTTCTTCAAGGAAATGTTATGTTTTGCATAGATGGTGTTAATAATATTTCCTCCCTGATATTTATTAACATGAGGACTCGTTATGGCTGAAAGGCATTGAGCAGCAATGTGTATAAAATTCTTTGATTCATAAAAAATATCTTCAACAACTTGTTTTAGGCTAAACACAAGTCATTTTTCTCTCCCCCCCTCCAACCCTTGTAATTTCACTTCCATGATCCTAGGGCAACAAGCCAAACTGCGGTACCAATCTGAATTAATTAATGCTTTCCAAACGGTGCTTCAAGGACTAACGCTGCTTACTAGTCTTGATGTCAGCGTTCAAGGTTTTGCTGCAGTACTGGAGAATTGTAAAGGAATGTTCTCCACCAGGATAAAAATAAAGAAATAGAAGTGAGGTTGTCATTAACAGACCATGTTTGACTTGCACGGTTTTTCACCAGTTAGTGAATGATGAATCAAAATCTCAGATTATGCAATTCCTTTGGATATGAAGCTTTTCCTCTCTTATGGAAATTCTTATTGAAGTGTGCAGCCATTTACCAAATCTTTTATGATCTCCTGAATGCAGAAAAAAATCAAGTTTCATCTGTTTGTTTATACTGCAGAGAGGAGATGACTTAAAAATAAACTATATATAGTTTTATACCTCCAATTTATGCAGTTATAATTCATTTTAACCCTGTAGCTGTAGCCAGCTCCTTGGTACTCCTACAGCAAATTGTCCCTTCTGTCTACAGAAAAGAAAAGTAATAGGCTGCTATACTATACATTACGTATGCTGTTTCAGTTATTATATATTATATACACCTCTACCCCAATATAATGCGACCCGATATAACACAAATTCTGATATAACTTGGTGAAGCAGTGCTCCGGGGGGGGGGAGGGCTGCGCACTCCGGTGGATCAAAGCAAGTTTGATATAACACGGTTTCACCTATAACACGGTAAGATTTTTTGTCTCCCGAGGACAGCGTTATATCGGGGTAGAGGTGTATTATTTATACTGTAAATAATCATTTGGAAACAATGTTATTTTCTCAAAGCAACCATTGGGTTGCTTACTGTATTAGATTTGTGCTAGGTTGACAGGAGGCATTTAACTAAAGGTACAAACCAGTGGAGACTGTGGAGAAATGGCAAAAAGAAGGGAGTTTTGTGGAGCAATAGGAATAAAGAACAGAAGCCAAAAAGTATAGAGGCAATGACGTCTTAGATTATACTTTCTGAACTCTTGGGCATGAAGCTGGAGTTCTGTGATATTTTGGCATCTACTTTATTTAAGCAGATGACAGTGTGGCCACGTTCATTGAAGGCATTGAGAAATACTGAGTGTAACTTTTACTGGGAGTTGCACCAGTGGTGAGTCTAGGCCTCTGGGCCTGTCTGAATTCCTGAGATGAAATGGACATCTCGTTCTTAATATTGTTTATTAAGAGGTTTATCATAATATAAGCACAATGCAGATTCTTACCGTGCCCCTTTTTGAAAGAATCGACATTGCTGGTAAGCAGGGGTTCTACTCTAGAATTGTTCCAGGAGGAACCTCAATTTTTTATTCAGCTTCCCAGCCAAATTCATTGCACAGTCCACCAGTATCAGTTTTCTTAAATCATGTGAAAAATATCCGAAGTGGATTAAAGCCAAGTCGCTCTTCTTTAGGACAGCTGAATGCTGAACATAAGTGTGCAGTTTGGCCATTTCCTTTATTTTAGTGGCAGTAACATACATAGTTCCCTCTGTGCTGATTTTTTTTCTTTTTACCTTTCTGTCATAGACATGTATATGGCCCCGATTGCCTTGGTATGTGAGCACCTCACAAGCTTCAATGTAGTTATCAAAACACCCCTAGGTAGGGCAGTGCTCTTATCCCCATTGTACAGCTGGGGAACTGAGGCACAGAGAGGCTAAGGTCACACAGGAAGTTTGTGGCAGAGCAGGGACTTGAACTCTAGTCACCCAAGACGTTGGTTAGTAGCCTAACCACATTAATCCTCCTGTATTCAGTGGAATACACCCCCTCTCCTCAAGGCCCTGTGGCGATGAGTAAGATGGACCTCTTATCAGACACAGCCCATCGGTGACACTTCATCAGTAGCTTGGCTACAAAGTGCAAAGTGAGACTGGGTCAAAAACTAAACCCAGATCAGTTGCATGGCATTAGGCGCCGTTAACTAGAGGAGGAAAGGTGATTAAGGCACAGGCCTGGTAGACAGGAGACTTGGCTTCAACTGCTGCAGGCTGCTCCTTGTCACTTTTGAAACACTTTATGTGTCTGTGCCGCACTTTTCTCATCCATAAAAAAGTGGGATGGTAGCATTTGTCTGCCTCCACGGGGAGCTGAGTCTGAGTCCTAAAGTTTGAAAAACACTTTGAGATCCTCTGGCAGAGGGAACTGTGTAAGTACAAAGTTTACTTAAGGAACCTAGATGCCAAAGTAACGGGAGCCTCGATAGTATATTGACCTTAGAAATGGGTGTATTAGTAATAATAATTAATTAATAGCACAAATACATGAGGCTGAAATTTTATTTTCCCAGGAATCTACTGGTTAATGACTTGGCTCCATGTAAGGTTCCTTTCGATGTAAATTACATGGTGATCCCACAGTACTGAGTGAGGGTTAAGGTAGACATGATGAATAGAAGTGAGTCAGTTCCCTAGTCCCTTGTTGTACAAGATATTGCGCTTATGGGGGTGTCAATCATACTTAGATTGGTATGTGGGAGCAGGGAAAGCCAAAAAGAGATTGCACTGGCAGGAACAAGCAAAGAATACCGCCGACTCGTCATTTAAAAACCTGTAACATTCTCTGAAAGGCCAG